TTTAAAAGAAAAATAAATTTATTTTATATATACATATATATTCTATAAATTTAATTTGTTAATATATTTAGACATTAAGCAAATATTCGAATAATTATTCATAATTTATTTTTCAATGTTATTTTGATTCGTGGATCGATTCACTTTCTCTAAATGTTTTCACAATGGTCGTTTCTAACGAAAGTTCGGCCCTGGCTTATCTACGAGACGATACCGACGACAAATCCAATGTTTCCACAGAGAATTTCGAACTCGGTTTTAAAGCTGAAGATTCGGTATATCACCGTATCAGACATTCTTGAAGAAGTACAGTCTTTAATGTCAATGGGCGTTGGACTTACATACACATTTAAAAGATTGCCATTGATAATCATTCATATTTCTCTATCTAAACTCATATACAATTTTTTCTATCTCTATTCACATATCATAAATATTATTATTACATTATACATCTAATATAAAAATATAAATCATTTTTATTCTATGATAACTAGCTAAAGATCAATGTCCTAACGCAAAAGATATAATATACATGTTTAAATATCAACGATACATTGAAATGATATACGAGCTATAAATATCTATTCACGAATAATCATGCATATATAAAGAATGACGAAGAATTTTTGTTCGAATTCAGTTTCATTTTATATATGATTTATTTTTATTTATTTAGGCTTTCTCCATATATTGAGAAATACGACTTGTCATAGAATTTACAGTTATTTTTTCTAGAATTGCCGAATGTAATTAGATAAAGTTTCGAAATCGAATCTCTAGTATAATATAATTAAAGCGAATGCAGTTTTCATCGGACTGGCTGAAGAAAAGAAGGCGGAATCGGGCGCCGCCCGTGTCTTAAAGCCGATAGACTACTTAAGAAATGACAGGCTTGTTTATCGCGACGTCGTTTCCGATCTATTTTCACTGAGAACCTTGTGTATTCGCATGAAAACAAAACGACACCATTTGTATCTACAATACACCTGTTTTCTATAAAACCTTCCATTTTTAATAAAAAAAATCGCAAATTATTTATGTCGAGATATATATCGAATTTTTTCTTTTTCAATATATTTAATAATATTTTTTAAAAAATAATACCATTTGATTGATTTTCGAATAGAATTTTTTTATATTTTTTTTTTCACAAGTATAACAGATATTGTGTTATTATAAATAAAGTATTAACAAGTGATAAAAATAAAAATCATTTCATTTTTTTTTTATGTATTTTAAAAAGGACTTTATGTTTCTGTTTATTAAGAATAATTTAAATGCGATCGATTTACTTTAATCTATAATCATTTTTAAGGAAATAATTTGGAAGCAAATGTTTTACGTGAGTCAAGTTGTACGATTTAGTATGTAATTGTAGATGTATCAAATGTAATTAATGTCAATCACGATAATATTCGAAATAATATTTCGAAAATTATTATTACCTGTTTTGGTAATAATATTCTTTATCATTTTACTCTGATTACAATTTCATTTTAGAATTATTTAAGTTATTTTTTTTTTTTGTCTAAATTCAATGAAAATATTCAATATAAATTGATGAAAATCTAGAATTAAATAATATTCTTTAATATTATTGCTGTGTTGCTTATTTTTTTTAATGTATTTTCCATTGAATAAATATGTTGTGGAATTTTCCATGTCTTTCTTTCATATAATCTTTCAAAATTCTTTACATCTTCTTCTTCTTCATTTCTTTATTAAAAACTCTTGAAAAACAATTTAGCAATTTATAAAAAAACAATAAGTTAACAATTTGAATAATGATTTCATTAAAATATTCAAGATATCTAAATCATAAGTTAAAAGTTATTCTAATTTTAGATATTTATATTTTTTAATTCTTTAAAAATTCCATTCTAATTGAATTCTTATATTTCAAATATTTTTCTATTATATTATTATTTATTTTTTCCTTGTCGATTACAATATAGTGTGGTATGTTCATTATCATAGAATTGTTTCTTGATCTTAAATCTATATTATACATATTGGAATATTTCTACATCTTTTAGCTGATAATTATCAAGAATACATAATGATTGTACAATCTATAATGGAAATTATCAAGTTGTTTACTGTACGTATCAGTTAAAAATTTCAAATGTGAACGATGTTTTTTTACACAGTATTAATCTATTGTCTATGCGCCATCTACATACTTAGATGGTTTATTTAGATGGTTTTCTATTTTCTGTAATAAGAAAGAATAAAAAAAGAAATTATTCGTTAAAAATTAAACTACGATAAATAGAAAATATATTTCATTAAATAAGATACGTGGTATGAAAGAAATGAAAATAAAAGTATTAAATCTTGAAATTGAACATTCTTTTAGTTCCATCTTTGCCCATAAATGGCCAGCTTTATTCTAACAGCAGAGATATCGATCGGGAAGAAAACCGACGAATGTCGCAACTTCTCGACAAGAATCGCACACCACAAGTTTACATGACAGTTCACAAGATGTTCGTATTCGGTCCCCTTTATGGGTGTGCTCAGCGAACGTCGACTACTTGGAAAGTGTCGCATTTTTTTTATCCAGAATACGCAGATACTTGGAAACACTTCTTTTAGTCATTAACCTTCAAATGTTGAAATTTAACGGATGGATTGAATATGGATGCAAATGAATTAAATATTTTCCCTTTTTAATTTTTTATATATTTATCTTTATTTTTTTGATTCTTTTCTTATTGGATATTTTCTTAATAATTTGGAAGATCGAGAAATTGTTCACATCAATATTTTTAAATTTCTAGAAATTTCTAGAAATATTTAGAAATATTAATTTTTACGATATCTCATAATTATTGAGATAAAAATGTTTATTTAGTTGAAATGATAATACACTTCATTCTGTTGTAATTCATTATTTATTTAAAAAAGAATATTTTGAAAAATATTAATAAATATAATATTATTAAATATAAAAATATTTAAATATAATAAGAATTTTTAATTGTTATATTTAATTGAGTCATACTTTTTTACATTATTTATAAATATTAATAAATATTATATATATTTGTATATATTAAAATTTTAATAATTACAATTTATAATTTCGATTAAGACATTGGTTGGGAAACATTGATTTATTAAAGCATTTAAATTTCTCAATATTTTGTTCACTATATAATAATTAAAAAAGAAACATAAGAAAGGAAGGATTTGACATTGTGAAAATACTATTGTCAAGAAATTATATCTTTCCTTCCATTTTCATCATATCTGGTTGCAAACAATCAGTTTATAATACTTAAAATTAGATAATCAGAAAAAAAAGAAATAATAAAAAACAAGAAATTATGGCAATTATGCTAGTCTCTCTCCTTTAAAGTAAACATTGTTTTTCATGTGTGTAAATACCCTAAGAGTCTCGTTCCTTTCGTATTCGCATAGTAAGCCACACGTTAACCAAGCATGCCAGTCTTTTCCCCATAGAAGTTTGACACTACTGAATCATGTTTTCACTTTTCCACTCGTTCTACACTTCCTTTGTTTCCCATTTCCTACTTCCTTTTTTCTATATCTCATTTATTTTTCTTGCTCTCCATTACGATTATGATCACTGTGAATATCGCTGATTTTATATTCTTGAAAGATTTTATCGTCGCTGATTCTCTTTTGGGAGACATGCACAGCCATTTTGATTTATTACACTATTACAGTCTGATCAATTTACACAATCATTGTATAAGATATTTTATAATTCTTTGTTTTGTTGAAATAAACAATTTTTAAGCATTTATAAATTTGTAAATTTCAAATATATTCATATTATTTCAGAGAAGGAAATTAATTCTACTAAAAATATTAGATAAATAAAAAATCTTATTAGATAAATAAAAAACTGAGAATAATCTCTTTGAAATTTTCTTTAGAATTTGTCTATAATTGAAATATACATATATATCAATATAAAAAAAAATAAATAATAAATGATTGTGAAATTCATTTTAATTCTGTAGAAATATAAAATCACTATCAGAGCAAGTTTCTAAATTTATTAATTCATTTCTCTTGATCATTTAAAAAAAAATTTAAAAAAGAAAGAAAGGATAATTCATCGCGATCTTTCTTTAACTTCTCATTGCCATTGTCAGAAATAGTATTTTTGGTTATGAAAAACAAAATTTTTACGCTTTTTTTTTTACATAAATGAATGCTTATACCCTTTTTTGGCTCAGAGCGCGCGAATACACTCGGAAAGTAAGTAAGCGATAATGCGACTGGTGTGCTGAGCGCAGGAGCGGCACGTGAGGAAATGCTAGCACTGACACATGTGCAGATACAGGATATAACTATAGGATGCGTATACTTCATATACAGATATCATGGTCGAACACAATTGCACACTTTCTGCAGTTTAGACCGTCTTGTAGAGCGCACGACCGACGGTGTCGTTGGCGGGATCAGCTTGCGTTCGATTGGTGAAAAAGAGCGTTCTTGGTTCATCGTTGGTGGGGATGTAGAGAAAGGCGGAGCCAATCGTCGACATAGCGACGCAACATGGCTACTAGTTCGCGAGGGGCCGTGTTCGCGTGCACGTCGAGCACGTACACGTACGGACTTTCCCCCGGCGGACCGACAGATGTCGCCTTGATTGCCTTTGAATCGTCAAGATCGGCGTGACAATTGGCCCCACAAGAAAAAAAAGGAACTGAGAAAGAATCTGTTTATTGTAAAAAGAAAAAACATAATCGAATATCAAAATCATGTGTGAAAATGAATTGAAATGAGATTCAACATTACCTATAACATCAAGTTTTAGAAGATACTGACAATGATGATAATTTATCTATCATATTTCGAAATATCAAAACTCCTGATGGACTTTTCAAAATATTTTTTCTCGTGGAAGAAACCATTTGTTACCAATTAATTATCATTTAATCACGTGCATTGTGTGTTATTGTGTGTATCGTTGACAAAACGTGTGAGAAAAAGAATAACTGGAATCTTTTTTAGACATATATATATATATACAAAACAGTGAAAATACTAGTCAAATCTCAGGAAATGTGTATAAAGTGTGTGTAATTAATCTATTGAGCCTAAAAATTTGTGCAAAACTATTAAGTGTTCTCGTCCTTCGTATTGTTTACAAACTAACTTACAAAATTTAGGTGAAATGAAAATATTAATCTAATAGGAAAGAAAAAGAGATGGAGATATTAGTTCTCTTTTTTAGGACACTGACCAAGTAAATTCGAAATATAAAAAAATATTGTGTATATTCTGCTGAATATTTTATCATTTCATCACAGCTGTTTCATTGTTCCTATAATCTACATTGTATTTTTATCAACATCAAGATATTTCAAACATTTAGAACGTGTTTTTGGAAAATCACGTATGTAAGATTTTATTTCTATTTTATTTATAATACAGATATTACAGGTGTGAGTTCACCTGATGAAAGTACAACAGTTGCTCCTGATAGCCCATGCTCTCCGGCTGAAACAAGCACATCAGCGTCGTCACACGAACAACAAGAACAGGAACAACAGCAACAACTTTACGAACATCACCATTCTCAATTTCAACAACAGCAGCAACGTACGACCGGAAGTGCGCCAGCCGCTGCACTGCACGTTGCTGAGGACAGTGGAGCCCCCTGTGAGATGCGGAGGACACCACCGCAAAATAAAGGTGAGTCTGTATGCACAAACTGTTATTATTTATTATTATAAATATAAAAAATTTATATTTCAAATTTAATTTTAATGCGCTTCAATTTTCACATATAATTAAGTTTGCTTTTCATTTTATAAATTTCTTTTTTTATATTGAATATATAGAAACAATAAATATTATTGTAAAAGATTTTGCAATTAATATAAAATTACTATTGAATATAATAAACATATCCAATCTTATGTACGGTAATATATATTTTGAATAATGCTTAAATTTAAATTAATTTTGAAATGTTTTAAAATTCTAGTTTTATATAAATTAATATTAGAAAGAAATTCTTACTTTTTAAAATTTTAAGTTTTCAATATAACACTAATTAATATTAATAATGAAATATATTTACGATGTTTTGTATATTACAAAATTATAATATTAATTTAAAAATTATTAAAGAATAGAATAGAAAATTCATATTTTTTACTAATTTTTTAAAATATTTTTATTTATTAATAATAAAATATTTAATACATTTGTTGTGCTGTTTCATCGATATGATAAATATCGCACTTATCGACATAGCTGCTATTAAATATGAATGAATTTGACAATCATGTCAAATATATATAATTAGAAATATAAAAATTTTATGTTTATATTTATTTTTATTTATTTATATTTTACAATTGATATTATACGATACAAATACCTTGTTATATTAAATTGCAATTATAAAAATTGATAATTAATCATATAATAAATAAATTTAAATAGATGATAGGAATATGATTTAATATTTTTATTTTATTTAGAAATATGTTTTTTTCATAAACCTTCCTTTGTTTTTTATGAAATTGTTGATTTGTTTTTTATGAAATAATATTATTTATTTATTCATATTTTTAATATATGTGTTTAATTGTAAAAGTTTTATATGAATTTATAATTCAATAAGAAACAATAAAATATAATATGTAAAAGATATATAAAGGTATATATTTAATAATCGAAACAGTTTGCATCTTGACAGATATCTAGAAAAAATTATTAAAAAGATTAAAGATAAAATTATAAAACAGGAAAACTATTCTTTTTTTTTTTATTCTCATATTGAACGCAATGAAAAATTATTTTTTTAAATATTATTTTTAATTGTATTATACAATTATGTATTATGTATATGAATGTATTATACAATATATAATACGTTATTACAATTAACAAGATCTTTCTTTTAAGTGGGAAATTAGATGCATTATAAATATTTAACACGGTTATAACGCGCGTGCGCATACAATGTACCGCTTGTGTAGCGAATGAACACGCGTGAGCGTGCAATCACTACCGATCGGTAATAATAGCGAGCGATGCAGAAACACCATTTAATTAAACGTGACATTCCCCAGTAGTGACGCGTCGGTATCGTGCGCGCGATGCAGTGCCGCGCCTGGTAGAAGTTGGTTGAGACGGAGACGCGGCGACACAGTCGCGAGCGGGCTCCTCTCTCTCTTAGCTCTCTCAGTGTCTTCGCTCTGGCGCGTTATGTGGGAGCCGTGCGAGTGGCAGTAGTGTACACACGCTGCTTCGACGGCTACTGAACTTCTTGCTTGTCGTCACACTTGATCATAATATTATTCTTCCTGTCCACTCGTGATAATCTATTGAGGATCTTCATATCCTCACAATCCGTGCTAGTCGGTGATCCGTCGCAGGAACAGGTATGCGCTCGTGGCTACGTTCGTCTACGCTTGAAACCCTCTGGCTACTATCGGATGACCCAAAAGTACCGTTACTAGCAAGTACTCTCGACCACGTGGCTCAGCGCGTGTTTCTACAATCTTAACGTGCGTCGTTCTATCGAGTCGTCTTCTTTACGACATCGATATTAACCTATTTGAAAGAAGTGTCATTCGCGAACCAGGATTGCCGAACCTTGGAATACATCTCCTCGCTGGTCTCTTTGCTGTCGAACAAGAGAGGGACAAAGGCAGACTTCTCTGAGGTAAGAGAGAAAGGAGTGTGCAAGAGAAGGGGGAGAAAAAGAGGGAGAATGTGAGGAGTGAGAGAGAGGAAGCACGCTGACTGGCAAGTATACATTGGACACGTTTGCGCTCGCGGGCTGCGTCCATCGACACCACTAGGGTGATCGTACCTCCGAAAGGGGTCTGTGTTGCAGTTATTGCAACAGTGCACCATTTTCTAACAAGCTCGCTCGAATTATTGTATTTATATTTCCTTGTTTTTTCTTTGCAATTTAACAATTGAATATATTCTATGCATTGTGTTGAATGTTGTAGAAAAGGTATACAAATGTCTAAATGATTTATATTCGTGATTAATACTTTTAAGTTTTGTTATCGTTGATGTTGAAACGTATACTAACATAAAAATCGTGTCGATATCGTTGTCACAGTTTTATTGATCGTTAACAAAGTCAAATTGAAGTCTGGAAAATATTTAACCGCGGCAATTAAATGTACGTGTATAGTGAGGAACAAAACCGGTTGCGTACTTTGTCTCATGCATTTCACAGAACATGTTGGAAACACGATATACTGCGTTCAGTACGTTTGCTTTCAGTGTAGCAAAATCTTTTAAACTTCAACCGAAGCGATGTGCTAATCTTTTTGAAATATAAATCAGACAGATAGATCGTAGGAGGATAGACAGCGACATTTTACGGAGTCATATTTCAGCTGACCTTGATTCTCGTTATAACATTTCGTCATTCTACTAATCGATAAGTAGATTTAAATCAGTACTTCACTTATCAATCAAATATTATGAATTGTCAATTTCTAAATCTTATTTAAATCATATATCTTTTAATGATGTTAATATTAATATACATTTTTCGAATTTTTATGTAAAATCGTTTTTTTTAAAGAGAATGATTAAAATTGCAAAGCTTATATAAAATATTATAAATCGTTTAATTTTTATATAATAACTCATGTGTCACAACATAGGTATTAAAAAACAATTGTCATTTGTATAGTTTGTACAGTTTATGTCATCGGTTGTATTATTATCTTTGTGCAGCAAGTTAATGAACTTCTCATGGCAAACTATATTCGATAAAACATATGTTATCGGTCAAAAAGATTGTGATATTTTATTCATCCAATAAAAACTTGCGTTTGGTTCGTGTTTTGCAAGGTCAGGAATGGCGAAGGAAATAAAGAAGAAATATTTCTAATGAATTCCTTCTAATGATATATAAAACAGATTTGCGTGTATTTTCTTTTTATTAATTACATTTTTAGCTATCTTATCGATATTTAATATCTCTCATTATAGTTAATCTCTTCTATGTATTAAATAATATCGTAAAAATTCACTTATTACTTATATTAATCGTGTTATCTTGTGTAATATTTGCTATGTAGATTATATATTAATTATCGCCATAATATATGCAACTAAGAAATCATAGCGCTCGAAAGTTTTTTGAATACATTGGTAATTCTATCCTTTAAAGATAGATTTCTTCTATCATCTAGGAAGTGTGAGAATGAAATACACACTACGAAATAATATACGTTGCATTCCGAGAAGCATGTATGTTGAATATACCGTGATATTTACGTATCATCATTTCGCAGTAAGAATGTTCCACAAATATGTACTCTCTTTCTAGATAATATTACGCTACGTGCCTTCACGTATCGCGACACTAGCGATAAACATACTCGCTTGTACGGTTAAAAAGAGCATCGATTAATTTGAAGTGTCCATTATATTTGGGTTGCGATTCGAAAATATTATTTGTCAATTTTAATTGACAGAATATACGATAATTTTTATTAAATGTAATAATAATTTAATGTTGATAAAAAAGTTAAAAATTGTTATAATATCAATATTTAAATTTCAAAATTTTATTGTAAAAATTAAATATAAAATTCTATTCATATATAACGTAAATAAAACGTACATTTTTAAATTAAAAATTTTTTTTATTTTGTTATTATTTACATTTTTCTTTTAATTCAAATATTATTTAGATCTGCCTCTTCAATTTGCTGAATCGAAATGATAATTTTTTTAAACAGTATAAATCAAGTGAACGAGATATAATAATTAAAAATATTGGATCCGTATAGGGTGAAACTATTTCCGCGAATCGTTAATATTGTAAAAGCGGCGAATAGTCACGAATTCATTGACTAGTGAAGTTGATGTATTTTAGGATACACTATTCGCAAGCGCCAAGTTTCATTGGCACAATTCCCTCTTTCACGAGAGCGATAGAGAAAGGAGATACCGCATGGGAGGGGGAACCACGATCAATGACCAAAAGAGATCTTAATAAAAGTACTGTGTTATTTACCGTGTAAGATTATTGTTAAATCGATATTAACATAATGTATTCGCGCATTTCGACATATAATACATTGGTCTGAATTCTGAAATTATATACGTGACGTTGTGTTAACTCGTAGATTCAATTATATATTGATCGAGAGCAGTGCTTGCGTCAGCCTCGCTTTCAACATTACACGGTATCCTAGTATCTCTCGAAACAAGCGTTCTGTGAAATCATCGGGACAAGCCTCGCGTTATTGCTTCGCCGTGAAATCCGTTTTCCCGCTCGGATCCCGCGAATCTCTCTCGGGCGAATTCCGCCCTGTTAAAATACACTCTAAACGATGAATGTAATATCTCGCGATAAATCTTTTCGTAATGAATATACGCTTGTCACGTATATCATAATTTTAACATTCCATTTACATTCATCTCTTAATCGAAGCATCGAATTTCATTCGTCTTATCGAACGAAATTGTTTGCTGCAGATAATTGTAAAAATTGATTTATGTATATGTATATATATATGCGTATAAAAATGAAATTCCTCAATAATCGTATTTGAAAAAAATATGTACGATAGCGTGATAAAAATTTCAAAATGTATTTGCTAAGAGATTCGATCACACTGGACGTTAAGCTCCACTTATTATACTGATCATGCAGCGTACCGCATCGACTCGAATAAAGAGTTTAATGGCATGCCTTCCTGTAACGCGATCGTCCGGTAAAAGGCCACTAATGAATCGATCGCGGATCGGGAAGCTCTCTTGCCTCCCCCCCTCACCCTCCCCATTCCCCTCGAGAAACTTGTTCTCCTGGGGGTCCCTGTGATTAACAGCCATACTCTCGATGATCGCAAGCAGCGACTCATTCCTCTCTAAATCTCTTACCATCCTTGTCCTTCCCTCTTCGAATGCCCATCCTCCTTTCCCCACCTATCTTCCATTTCCTTCTCTCCCTGTATCCGCCAACCATCTTCTCTCTCTCTCTCTCCTTCATTCCTTCAACCGTCCTCTATGCTCTGCCTCGATGCCGGAGGAGCATATACTGGCTTCGTGGAAACTCATTCCCCCGATATTTCGTTGTTGTTCTTGCAATTAACCGAGATTTTGTTCTGCACAGTCGATAGATCGGGAACCGGGCAGTCTGGAAGCTCGCCGAGGGTGACGCTTCGGCTCAACCAGGTGAGAGGAGCGAGGGATGAAAAAAAAGGAGGGGGTACTGCTAACTCCCGTCAGGGCGGCATGAACGCACAGGTATATGTAAATGTGTTACTTATGCATATGTGTTTATACATATAGTAGTCTAGTTATTATCGGTAGTTTATTTAATTAATTTTCCATAAAACGGGGGTTCACCGATTTTGATTGTTATGAATAATATTAACTCTCGATTCTTTTAGAAAATATTGATTATTGATAGATATTTTAATAAATGTATTATTAGTTTTATTTAGTTTATTTATTTATTATTTGTTTAAATATAGATTTAAAAAATGCAATGCGATTAGCAAAAAGGACTAAGGTCATTTACAAAACATGATGATAAGTGTTATGTATTGCGAAGTTTACTACAAGTAATACACGATAACGTAAAAAAATTCTAATGAGGAAAAGAAAATTATATTTTACATTGCTTTTAATAATGATAACGAATATATATGATTCACGCATTGTATCATTTTCATGTGTAAAAATTTTATTTATTTATTTATTTTTTTTTTTTAATTAAAAAATAATATTTGTAGAATCAAGGTCAAATGGAAACTTCATCGAAGACGTCATCAAACGTCTCGTCAGGGACCGTGAATGCCGTCTCGGGTTCCAGTACCTCTGGAAACACATCGTCTACCAGTGATAGTAGCGACGTGTATGAATTCAAAAGTTCGAAAGAACCCACACCAGTTAGAGGTGCAAGCTCATCACCAAACCCTAATCCCGAGAAAGATAAAGATGGTGGCAAGTCTGTTGGCAATCAAGGAGGACAGAATGGTGGTAACAACGTGTCTACCGCTAATAGTGCAACATCTTCCGGTGAAACAACAACCGCATCGATTACTACCGATGATGCTCCTGCGGTTTCAGCATCACCTTCGTCTAAGCGTGCGTTTGAAAACGATAATACAGAAGAGCAGGATGAAGAGAATCGTCGAAAGAACGAAAAGATTCCGAACCTATAAAAGAAAATTTAAAAAGCACTACCACAGGCAGACAAAGTACTAGTAGAAATACTACTAACACTGTGGAAAAGGTTCGTTTATTATTAATTATTAGTTATTATATAAGGCATTAGTAGTATAAGATAAATATAAAATAATTGTTAATTTATTTTAAAAATCTTAACTATTAGCAAAATAAAACTTTTTTTCTGTTAAAATAATAAATAGACTGAATTATTTATTTAGAAGATTTTGCGATTAATAAGTAAAAATAAATTTTGAAATTTTGTTTTTTTCACAGTGTACAAAATCAGGTAAACAAGGATCTGGAACAAGTTCGAGTAAAAGTAATCAAAATACAACCTCAATTAGTACTGACAGGAAAAGTCCAAGTTCTTCAATGGCAAGTAGTCCAAAACCATCAAATCCTTCTGGTTCGACAACTAATTCTAAAACAACTACACCAGCACCTCCAGAATCTGATGGCGAAGATGATCGATCGAAAGGATCAGATTCCAATTCAGCTCCTAAAGTACCACCTTTAAAAATAGTTATTCCACAAAGTACAACGTCTGAACAAGAACAAGGTAACAGAAACGGAAAGAGTACATCTAATAGGAGTCATCAGTTACCTTATGTAGTTGCCAGTTCTAATAGTAATGATTCAACGGATAAAGATCAGAGTCAATCAACTAGTGGAACAACAAGTCCTACAGAAAGTGGAAATAGTACTAAAAATGAAGATAAGAAAGATTTCAGTGGTGCTTTGCACGGAGAAGAAAGATCAACGCATCACCAAAGAGTACTCAGAAGTTCACATAGATCTGGTAATGGCAATAATGGGTCAATGACTTTGAAAGAAAACTCTTCTTCTACAGGCAATGGAAATTATTCAAACTCATCTCCATTACCAGTATCTTCGACAGATCGTTCCAATAATTCATCACCACAGCAAAGGCATCATTCACCAACACCTGAGACTACTAATTCTGAATCAAACAAAAATACCTCGACAGAAATTTCAAACAGTGGTGTTACTTCAAAAACAAATATTATGACAGAAAAATCAGAAAAAAATACCGAAACTGGTGGAAAATGTCAGAAAGATAATGGAACTGAGAATTCCGAAAATACTTCTACAACTACCTCATCCACAACAACAAATATAGGCACCCCGGCACCACCTGTTGAACTTCATCCTAGGAAAAGAAAAATGAAACCTAATAAAGAAGCACAACAAGCTGCTACAGCTGCTTCTAATGAAGCATCTGAAGCAACAAATACAGGCCCAGAAGTTCATCCACATGATCAACCAATTACTAATTGTTATCAATTGTTTTTAAATATTAGAAAGCAGGTTTGTATATTTACTATTTTTAATATATGTTGAAATTTATCTAAAAAACGTTGAAATTTCTGTGTAAGATATTTGCACTATTTTTATTTTTTTTAGATCGAACGAAGAAGAAAAGGTCTTTTTCCAGTTCAACCAAAACCACCTCAGGGTTTCAAGGATTATTTAATGAATCGTTGTACATATGTATTGGCTGGAAATGCAAATAAAGAGCCAAACGTTAATCCTCCGGTTGGATTACAAGGCGCTATGAAAGACTTGTATATTGAACAAGAAAAAGAAAGATATCGTCTCAGAATGCAACATGTTGTTGAAAAAGAAAAGCTAGTTTTATCAGTAGAACAAGAAATTCTTAGAGTACATGGTAGAGCTGCTAGAGCTCTGGCCAATCAATCCCTTCCTTTTTCTGTTTGTACCATATTAAAAGATGAGGAAGTGTATAATGTTATTACACCAGAACAAGAAGAAAAAGATAGAAATGCAAGGAGTAGATATAATGGTAGATTATTTTTGAGTTGGTTACAAGATGTAGATGACAAATGGGAAAAGATCAAGGTAAAAATTAGGATATTGTATATATTTATATTACATTTATATATTTATATTATTTATATTATATTTATACCTGAATTGTTATGTAGATACTCGTAAATTCATACTTTATCTTTAATTTTAGTTAAATTAAATTGTTATATAAAAACCAATTGATAAGCATTTTTTCATGTTTGTCAGTTTAAAAAATGTAATACATTAATAAATAATATTATTAATATTATTGCATTTATCTAAAAGATAATATGAATTGGAATATAAATATAAATATTAAGAAAAAAAATTATATTATTTTAGGAAGCAATGTTATTAAGGCATCACAATGAAGCTGAATCATTACATGCTGTACAAAGAATGGATTGGGAATGGAAATTAAAAGAAGTTGGATTATGTGAATTTAAAGCAACACCTCAAATAGAAGATATTCATGTTCCAATGGTACATGTTTCAGATGATTTCGATTTGCTCCCAGCTTAATGTACAATAATTGCACAATTTACTCGTCGTAAATATTTCTTTTATACCTTTGAAATAATGTCAAAGTGTATAATTATAATCTGTGATCTCTTTAATAAAACGTACTCGCCGTTTTTACACGGTTACGAAATTATATTGTACTACTTTTAAAACTATTATTAAGTATGGAGGCTATATTTAAAAAATATTTGACTTTAATTAAATTGCAATATTATATCATTTTTAATGAATTTCTCTAAATTTACATACATTAAGATTACATATACATTATTTTGTTCATGTTTATTATTTAACATGTTTTATTCATAGATTATGTCATTAAAGGAATGAACAAATGAAAATTATAAATATTGACTAGGGATTTGTAATATTCTGCAAATTCAACACTTAACAAATCTTATGTGTTAATATTTTGGTATTATATTTTTCAGTATATACAGTCTCTTTGTAATATGATGATGTATATATTTTGTACCTAGCAACTTATATACTGCTTTTAAATAATGTATAAAAACTATAGACTAAAATGCCATGTAATAAATGAAACTATACAAGTTAAATTATTTTTTTTCTATCAAATTTTCATTTTTGTTTTCTATTTGAAGATTTGTATTAATAATTGGAGATTGATTGATTGAATTTACATTTAATGATTCCATTTGAAAATCGATGGGTTTATTATAATTCATTATAGTAAAATAGTGTTCACGATTTATAAAATTTTCTTGCACAAAAAATAAGGGTTTATTTTTTACATAGCAAGTTGACAGTGGTAATGTAAAATTATATTTACTTTCAGTTACATCATTTGGAGTAAATTTTATCTGCAATATACAAATAATTAGATTATATAAATTATATTAATAAATAAATAATAGTTATTAGTAAATAATTAATAAATAATAGTAATATTAAAAACATAAATACCGTTTTACGTCTGAGAAATAATGTATATATTGTAGCACTATATTTTTCTTCTTTAGGATAATAATGCATTTCAATCACATATCTTTTTGTTGCCAAATGTACGAAAAAAGGATTTGCTATAGTAAATAAATTGAACAATGTCAAAATTGCTATTACACTTGCTAGACTATCTTCTTCTATGAGCTTCATAAATATATATGGTTGAGCAATTGTTGATATTGTTGTTGTCAGTAAAGAAAGTATTTTAATGCTACTGATTTTATTTTTCATTGTTCCTATATATATTAGTTCTTTATCTTCTTTATTATTTTTATCAGAAAAATGTCTTACTTGCAAAAATGGTGTATATTTTTGAATACATCTATTATATTCCCTTGTTATGTTCTGCAGAATAAAATAAAATTTTAAAATATATAAATGCATATTTAAGAATATTCACTTTTCAAAATTACTATATATATTGATAATTATATTATTTTAAAATAAAATAAAAATTTCTAACCTTGGTGTTACTATATTTACAATACATAGAAATTCTGAATAATACAATTTCTTGCATAAACAATTTTCTTCGGCTTAAAATCCAATTTCGTAATAATAAAACCATGATTAATAATTAATAATAGATTCTTCTTCTTTCTTTAGATACTCAAATATCTAGGTAAGTATTTTAGACCGTCACGTCAAGGAATTAACTTCAAGCACAAACAAGATATAAAGTAGACCTACCATATTGCAGAAATTTGTATTCCATGTCTAAATTATCGATCATGTAAAAAATTGAAGGATTTGATCAGCAACTGAATGAAAATTAGACATTATACATATATTTTTATGTCACATAGTTCGACGATTACGAATTTCTTATTTTTAGTATATATATAAAGTTGATACAAATGAAGTTTAAAATAGATTTAAAAATATATATAAAATTATTATATTATGACTTGACTAACAAAGTAGTTGATCTATATTAAATTAGATATAAGAATAAAGCAAATTATGCAACACATTTTTGTAACTCAAATTCCTATGACATTAGAACTCTATTATCATTTTTATATCATTCGTATCATCAAGAATGCGGAATTTGATTGTGACAGCATTTTGACGTTTATTTCAGTGGGAATTATAAATAACGAATAAAATAAAGAATATATATTTTAAAATAATAAAAATATATAAAACAATTAATTATTTAAGATTAGTTAATGAAATAGTAATAAGAAAAAATGATCTAGATTAATTACTTGAATTTTTTTAATAATAATTATTATTGATTAATTAATATTAGTTATATAATAATATATATATTAATATATAATACATATTTTTAAAAAGGAAAATTAGCAACTTCATTATAAAATAAACATTTGATTCATCACAAATAAGAATCTATAATTTCATCTCAAAAGAAATATAAAAATTATCTTGTTTGTAACAGTGAATATAAGAATTATATTCAATTTAATCACAAGATAAAAAAAGTTAAAAAAAGTTGAAGTTAAAAAAGTTATATTTGAATTTATCTTATGTTTTCATAAAATTCATGAAATTTTATTTCGATTAATTATTATATTTTTCGAAATAATATTTAAAATTTTTATTTATTTAAAAAAGTTATTTTTTATATATTTTTAAATGTTATATACTTTAAATATAATTTTTAATTAATAAATATAATTTTTTATTTTTTTTCTTCATAGTTTATTGTCTGGTATATTTTCTTTATAATTTGTTTTCAAGATAAAGTTTATAATATTTTCTTAATATATTTTGAAGTAAAAATATTTTAAGAAATATAATTAAAAAATTATTTTCCTTCTTAATCCTCATTCTAATATATTTTATATTCACAGCACAATTTCATATTATGTGTCAATGTTACCAGGACTGATTGCAAAAAGTTAAGATGTTCGAAGAGAGAAACAAAGAAAGAAGTTATCAATAGTTTTATTTAATATAATCAATGATTATTGTTTTTTTCATTTGATGTTATTTTTGTGAAACGTCGCAATATACAATTTTTACGAAATATTATATTTGTTATCAAAAATAATTATCTTTGTTATATTGTTAGCATATGTCATGTTTGTAAATTACTATGTTATCGATTATTCACATTTTGTCGTTGCCATGTTTTCAATTCTATGCAAGTAAGAAATCGCAAAGTACCACGTGATTGTCGTTTACAAATGATTGTGATGATTTATTATATTCAATATTATGGAAATATGAATAATATATACAAAAACTTGAATATTTTAATCTGAATATTTTAAAACGTTTTTATTATTCTTTATTAAACATTTAAAAAAAATTGATTTTATAAAACGTAATTTCCTAAGTTAGGTTATAAATACAAATTTTATTCAGTATTTTTTCTAATTATAATAAAGTCTTCTTCTCTGTGTTTAATGGTAAATGTATTAAATATTTAAATGTAAGTTTAAATTTATTTATGGATTAAGCTTATAATTAAATTATATGTTAATATTATTATTTTAAAATATTAATTTAATTTAAATAAATTCATGATTATATATTGATTTTACTATTTTTAAATTTTATATATTAAAAATGCAAAATAATTTATTTCATATAGTAATTATTTAATTTATTTAATTTATTTTTGATTCTATGAAATGTTTTTTAATTTATATTTTTTAATTTTCAAAATAAATTCAATGTATATAAAGTATATTTGTAATTTATCATTATGATATGTATTATATAATATATTTTCAAGCATGGACAAACAAATAACAATAACCAGTAAATATAAATTTATTGATATGCTGTATATATAAAAATATGAGTGGTAGTTCTAAAAAAGAAGATATTAATGCAAAAAAGAAATATGTCTTTTTTTGTGATCCTGATGTTATTGTTCAACGTGCTGAAGCATCTGCAGCAGTGAGTTAATCTAATTATTTTTATTTAATTATCTTATTATTTTTATATTATATATTTATAATTTTGTATTAATAAAAATAATATTAATTATTTTTTATATTATTTAAGTATAATCTAATAAAATATAATTTTAACAGCAACAAGATTACATTACCAACCAAATCTTTAAAGACAAACCATCTAATTTTCCAGTTGAATTTGACTTAAAAAATTTAGAAAAATTATCATATCAACCTATTCAACCATATCCTTTTACATTTATAAGTGCTGTGAAACGAAAGTTTATATTAAATGATGGTTCTGAGATTTGTATAAAAACACAAGAATCAAATAATAAAAATGCAATTAAACCTTCAAGAATAATAAAATCTGATAGTACACAGAATTTGCATGAGGTTATACATAAAATGGATTTTATAAGACCACTGAAAGTTCCAGATTTGAAAATTTCTGCAAAGAAATTAGATTTTTCGAACAGAGAAAATTGTGCATCCAAAGAATCAATATCTCCAAAATTTGAAACATCTTCAAAGGAGTTTATTCATGAAAGAGGAGAAAAAAAAACAAGGAATTTTGAACGAGTTCAAAGAAGATTAGATTTCTCTACATCAGATGTTTCATCAACTATTACTAGTGAAATAGAGCCATTGAAGGTGCCAAATATTTCTATATCTTCAAATTTATCGAAGAAAAAAGAATATGTCAGAGAAAATTCCAGAGAAAAAGAAAATAGAAAAAGAATTAGAAAAGATGAATCTTTATTTTCTAAACAGGATGAAACACAAGATTTTTATAGAAGATCCAGAAGTCCAAGATATACTTCTAGAAAAGATTTTTCTAACAATATAAATGAAAACACAATAATTTCAAAGTTAAAAAATGATAGATTTCATATGCCAAGGGAAAGTGATTTTGTTCCATCAAAATCAAAGACTAAAAATTTTGTAACATCAACTGCTAAAAAGGTTAATGATAAAAAACACAGATCTTTTAATACTAAATCTTTAAAATCAAGAGATAATTCTTTAGAATCTAAAAACAGATCTTATAGTAATGAATCACTTTCTGAACGATCTTCAAAGTTATCAGATAAAGTCACAATTAGGGAATCTAGAAATATATTTGAAAATTTTGATTATAAACATAAGGATGATTTACATATGTTAAAACAGATGGATGATCAAAAATACATATTTTCGTCTGAAAATAGGCAAGTTAAACAACATAAAATAACATGTCAGTCTCAAGGAAAAACAGGAAATATATTTTTTAAGGAACAGAATAAAAAATCTGAAAAGATAAAACCTTCAACAAGTAAAATAGATGGCAAAATGTATATAAATTCTAAAGAATCTGAAGGTATAGAAAGTATAACTAATTCAAATATAAGTGTAAGAACTCAAAGTCCAAGCACTATTTCTACACAACAAATGAAAAATAAAGATTCTGAAAAAACTGCACAAAGTATCAATATATGTAAATTGAATAAAACTATAGAAGATTCAAAATATACAGATGATTCTTTAACACAATGTACTAATGTAAATATAAAAAAGGAAGAAGAATCATTTACACAAATTGCTACTACAGATAAACAAACTAGTAATAGCAATGAATCTAATTTAAGTGATAATATTTTGTCAAGTGCATTGTTTGATCCAAAAAGAATTTCATTTAGAGATGAAAATCGTTTACAACAGGAAGAATTTTGTGATTTAGTTACTCCAGATATGAATCTTATACCTCGATCTAAACGAAAACGACAATTCATACAAAACAATAATATGGAAGCAGATTTAAAATGTTCAAAACATAATATGGGTAAAATTGAAACAGAACCAGAAAATATGTTATTGGTAAGTATTAGTAATAATATATACAACATATGTAAATTATCATTTTATTAATTTATAATTATAATATAAAAATAATTTTATAATTGTAGTTACATCCAACTGCCTTACATATGCAATTCCAAGCTGAATTGCATCTTCTTGATTCTTTTAATGAATCATTGAGACAAGTAATGGATGTTGAAAAATGTTTATATAATGTTAAGCAAGATCAAGAAAAGGAATTATCATTACAGCATAGTCAACCAAATGACCAAATAAAATCACATTTTTCTAAAGCAATGAATGAAAGAGATATTGATGATATTAAACATTGCAATGATAATAATAAAGCACATAAACTTGTTGCTACTGATAATGGTAAAGTAAAAAAATTTACCATGATATATAATAATTATCTTATAATTTAATTCTTAATAATAATATTAATATTAACATAGCGTTTCCGACAAATATGGTACATCATATTACAAGTCAAACTATAGGAAATGAGTTTGATAATATAAATAAAATAACTAAACCAGTAGCTGTAGAAGTACAAACTCAAACAGTAAATGATATGGCAACTCAAACAGATATACGTTCTACTCGACGAAATGTACAAAGTAGATGTTCAGAAATATGTGGAACACCATATGAACGAGGATTCATTGGAGATAACGAAGTTCCACATTTTTCTTTAGATTCAGTGGAACAATTTGAAGATTTAGATCAGATAGAAGAAATATCATTGCCTAGCAAATTAAGAACGATGTCAGAAATAAGTTTACATGAAACTACATCTTCTATACGGACAGAAACTGGAACAGAAATTAGCATTTCAACTCGAGATGTAACTTGTTCTTTTAATAAATATTTAGATTTAGAAGTAAGTATAATAATTAAAAATTTCTAGATTGAAATTAATATTTCATACATTTTATGAGATTAAATATTTCATACATTTTTAGATTGCACAACTAATAAAAGACGAAAAACAAAGATATGATAAAATTGAAATGTTGTTCAAATCTCGTGAAAAAACTTTAAATGATCGAACTAAAAAATTAGTGAAACTAGAAGAACAAAAACGAGCATTAAGAGATACTGGACAAGATAGTCGTGTTAGTTCTGTTAAAAAAAAGCAGAGAGCTTTACTTTTAAAATTACAACAAGAAAAAGATGAAATGAACAGGTATCGTAATTTTTATTATTTAGAAATGTTTTATTATTTTTTACATATTTTTAAAAATTTTATTTTTAGATTAAAAGAGCTTCACAAAATTGCAAGTCAAGAACGTAAACTAATGCTGCAAAAACAAAGAAATATGTTTAATCCTCAAATATCTACTAAAAACATTTTAACGAAATTAAAACGGAGCGCAGATAGTCAATCTCCAAGAAGACTATCTGGACCCATGAAAGGTTATGATATAAGAAGCAATAGTTCTATGAGTTCTTTAGTTGACTCTGATAAATCTCAGCAACACGATCGATCTCAAGCAGACGGTCGTATGCAGATGTCGGAAAATGAATTACATTTTTCTAAAATTGATTTACTAAAAAGTAATAAATTCACAAATCTCGTTGAAGAATCTAACGCATCGTTTTTAGAATTTGATAAATCTGATAAAGCTATGCAAAATATGTCCGAAGAAAAATGTCTTTACAACACACAAAAAGATGGAAACATATCCAAATATGAAATAAAGTCAAGAAAATTTGAAGAAAAGATGCCCAGAGCAGATCTTATTAGATTGAAATCAAATCAATATAATTCAATTGATGCGAAATTAATTCCAAATCATTCAATGAATATTTCCGGAAAATATCTTTTCGAAAAAGGAAAATCTCCCGATGTGTCAGAACTATTACAACAAAATTTAAATAAATCTACATCTGAATACATTAAATCAGAATCTGATACTTTAGTGGAAGAATTATCTAAAAAGTCAAAAGCTTCTCAAGTAATTGATAATCATTTTCAGACTCTAGTATCGCCAAGAGAATCTTTAAAAGCTATTTCTACAAATAGTGAAATTTTATCAGAAGAAATAAGTTCAGTTAGTCAAGATACTGTATTGAAAACATCGAAATCATCACAAGTATCCGAAGACATTTTGCAGATGTATTCAAAAAGTTCTAAAAGAAGTAGTAAATCAATTCCGACCGACATGTCTAAAAAAACTCAATATAGTTCCGAATCGAAATCAAATTTTAAACGTAAAAGTTCAAAGTGTCAAAAAAGCAAATCATCATCTAGTATACTTACAGAAAATATATTACGATCTAAATCTCATTCTCAAATGTCAGAAGAATTTGTCAAACATCATAATAAACGAACAAGAATGGAAAAAGAATTTGTTCAATTTGATAAAAACGATGAAAATGCACTTATTGATAAACATACAAAAGATAAAAATTTAAAATTATTAACAGATCGAATAGACGATTATGACGCTAAAGAGAATGTATTTTGTCAGAAAATATTTGATAAAAATGTAGATATTTACGGAAATTCTTGTTGTAGTCAAGACAAAAATGGACATAATTTTGATGAAGCAAAATCTCAAATTGGTAATTTTGCTATTTCTCATCATAGTTCTGGAGAGAGTGATAGAAATTACTCCAAATCCGTGGTTATCAGATCACAAGATCATAATTTGAAAACATCTAAAAAACTCGAACAGTAAGTACATACCTTTTTTTTAAATTAATATATTTATATATTTCATTATAATCGATTTTGGTAAGCATTTTTAATATAATATTGAATTAATTAAATTAACGAAATTAATTACGAATCACTAGAAACACGTGTAAGAAATCTAATAATAAACTGTATATTCACATCATGAAATGAAGCATTGTAAAAATAGATTCAGTGCAGCAGCGATCTGCATTCCACTGTTATTGCAGTATTCTATAGCAAAGATTATTTGGCTCAATTTTTAAGATCAAATAATTGTTTTTAATAATTTCAAATTTTTACAATTTTCAGTTTAAGTTGTTTGATAAAATCGATATGGAAGATTATTTTTGCTATCAGACGTGATTACATTTTTCAGAATTTTGAATGCGCGTGAAGCTGCGCTTACATCGCGGAAAAATTGTGTGGAAGAGTGGATGGCTTGGCATGCGAAATTAAGAACGGAAGAAGATCGTGTTGCACGAATGGAACAAGCTGCACTTAAACTTGTAACTGCAACATCTAATGTTTTTTTACAAGGTAATTTTATTATTAAATATCTTTAATTATAATTGATAAATTCATTATCCTCACATAAAATTTTTTTATATAAGTAAATAATTATCTATATAGAGATATTAGTAAATTAAAAATTATACTAATTTAATTATTTGTTTTAATTATTAAAGAGCAATATTATATTATTTTATAGATACTACTGTTTCGTCGGACACGAGCGATATTGAAGGAAGAATAGAATTACTAACAGAAAAATTGGCCGAAAGACGAATAGAGATGTCACGGTTGAAAAGGGAAGCTAGAAAACAGACGAAACAGAAACTTCGTGCTTTAGAAGCTAATTTGTTGAATCAAATAAAGGTAAACAATTTAATATTGATAATAAATTTAAAATGTTATTTATTATATATGTATATTAAATAATCTGTTGTGCAAATAGAAATATGATACGACAATTTACGAAATGCGCAAAAAATTGGAATCAAGAAAAGGAGCTTCTAAAGATAATGAAAAATTAGCGATAGAATCAAGATCATTGGCAGACTTTAAAATACCCGAGATTCCATTAAAAAAATTGCAAGATATATTCAAAAACAATGATTTACTAAGATCCAGATCAGAATCTGATTTATTATCCACAAAAAAATTATCAATTAAAGATCCTATGAAAAATATTAATATACTACAAAATGAAATTGTTGAAGCCAGATATGAAAAAAATTCTGAAAGAATGATTAAATCTTTAAAAAGCATAAGAACATTGGAGCAATTAAGTTCCGCAAAATCAAGTACAGTGAATCACAGTAGTCAATCTGTTTTTGATGAAAGTATATCAGAACAAATCGAAATTGATAAACTTGGTTCTGTTTCCATATCATCAGTTTCAGATGGTGCTCGATCTGAAAAAAATATTCCTTGTGAAACTCAACAATATATAAATGAAATACAAAATAAACAAAATATATCAGATGCAAAGAAAAGTAGTATTTCCGAAGATGTTAAAACTGAAATCAATACACCAAAGTCTGAATCAGATATATATACACAATCAGAAGCCAAGTTCTCTAAATATGATACTACAATTCAATCTGATTTAAAAGAATATAAATCTGATTTTGATACATTTTCCGAACAGTCCCAAGTTAAGACTATTTCATCACAATCTAAAATAAATAAATCTCAACATTCGGAACATTTGGAACATATTTTATCAAAAAAATCTAATAATATTCAATATTCTAATGCAGAAATAAATAATGAATCTGTTAATGAAAGTCTTGATTTCTCTAAAAAATTAGATTTTTTGCGTTTAAATAATCAAAATTTGAATGAGGATATAAGCTCGTTAGAAAATGAATTGAAAATACTTTCAGAGATGATGTCACGTTTTAATAAAAAATCTATTGAAGAAAAAAAATATGAATTACAAAATGAAGAAAAAAGTACATCAAAAGATATATCTGAAATACATTCGGTATCGGATAAAATCAATGAAGATTATGATGTAGAAGTTATAAAAGAGGATAAGATCAAAAATGTAGAATTACATTCGAAAGAGAGTAATTCTGACATTCCTCAATATTTAACAAATAATACAAGATTATTGTCACCTACTAACTTCAGTGATAGTAACAGTATAGTGGAAGAAGTTGATAATGTAATATCTGTTATAATGCCACAAAGTAAAATATCATCTTGTAAATCAAGTAGTCAAGAAATTGATTATAAAGCAAGAAGTAAGAAAATTTTAAATGAAATCGAAAAATCTATAATATCAGAACATATTAAAATACCTAAAGATGACCGTTCAGAGATATCAATTGAAAATAAAAATTTAAGTTTATATAAAAAGAACGAGGAAATATGTAATGATACATCTGCTAATATCAAATCTTTATCTGAAATTTATTCAAAATCGATTCAAGATAAAAATCGATGCATAAATATTTTGGAATTTGAAACAACATATCCTGAGAAAAATATTGAAGAAAATTTAACTGATTTACATAATGTAGAAAATTACCAATCAAAGAAAAATTCTTCTTTATCTTTAGAAAACTTCGAAGATAACGAAAAGGATAAATCTTTAAATCAAAATACAGATATCAATCTTAGTTCAATAATAAATGATATATCTTCTACAGAAATTCATTTAGAAACTAAGAATAATTCCGCATCTAAAGAAGATGTTTCAAAACAAGCAACAGTTACAGAATATGTAAATGAATTATTGAAAAGACAAGTTTCTCCTCAGTTATCAAATTCGATGAAAACAATTGAGACTTCTAAAGAATCAATAGATTATGTAAAAGATATAATAAATGATAATATGTCTTATCAAAATATAAATGATATACATCTAGTTTCAAAAGCAAAGAATTTAGAATTATTATTAAAAGAATCTAAAGAATTAACTAATAATAATAAAAATGAAACTGTCTTTACACAAACTGAAGAGATGATAGAATCTCAAGAAGTCTCTCAAAAATCCATTAAAAGATCTAAACAACATATTTCTGATTATGATTTAGATATGAGTAAAAAAGAAATTATTGAGAATAATAATCAATCAGAAGTATTTTTGAATAAAACTTTTAATAAAAATGATTGGACTATATCTAATTCGTTTGATGTTATTTCTGCATGGGAAAAATCTCAAAGTCAGACATCAAAATCATTCAACGATTCGAGTTTACTAAATTCAAACATATCCCAATCAGTTAACTATAAAAATGAAATAATTAATGATGTAGAGGATGATGTAGAAGATGTAGAGGATGTTTCTTCATTTATTCCAAAAAGTGAATCTACAAATATTGAAATACATGAAATAAAATTTGATGAAACATTAGACTACCATTTTGAAAAATTTGATAATAAAGACAAAGATGTATTGCATTTAATTTCTAAAAACAATAATGAAGAACAAAATGAAAGTAATATAGAAACTAATGATTTCCAAAAAATTATTTATGATTCTGTCACTAAAATATTGGATAAAGTTGAAAAAAGTATTGAAAACAATACAATAAAAGAGAAAATTGAAAATCATACAGATATGGATAATGTAAGAAATAAAAACGAATACAGATAGAAGAAAGAGAAAAATCAATTTCAAGTAATGTTGCTTTAAATAATAATTTAGAAGAAAACTTAGAAAAAAATAAAATGAACTTCAGTGATATTAATGAAGAAATCTCTCTTTTGAACTTCAGCAATGATAAGAATGATGAAGAAGATGAAGAAATAACAATTAATGAAAATACTGAGATTATAGACGAAAACGTTGAAATTAAAAATGACGAGAACACGTATTATACTGAATCTAAGTCTCGAGAAATTATTATAACAGAATTAGAACCAGAAAGTATAGAAAATGAAAATTTATCAGAACTTGAAATTGATGCTAAAATAGAATTAGCAGAAGAAGAATTCATAGAAACAGAGAGAAATAAAGAAGAAATAGTATCACAAGAACAAAAATTTTTGGAAACTATAATAGAACAAGATAGTTCTGATGGTGAACAACTTGATAATTTGGTTGAAGTAACTGAAAGTGTATTGGACGTTATAGAAAAAGGAATTAAATCTACAGATTCTATTGAATTGAAATCTATTTCATGTTATAAAACAAATGATTATGATGTTGAAATTCAAGATAATAAAATGCAAAGTGAAGAAAATTCTGTAAATATAAATGATATCAAGATAATAGAGCATGTTGAAATAGATACATCCAATGTATCACTAAATGTAATGAATAAAACTTTTGATATTGTGAAAGATCCAGAATATGAAGATATTTCAGAAGAAAGTCTTGAAGTTTCTGAAATATTTGATAAAAGCGAGCTCCAGAAATCTACTATTATACAAAAATCGTCTATACCAGAAAAATATGAAGCAATACAAACATCAGAAAAAGTATTGAAAATACTTGATGAAATTACACAAAAACCTTTGTTAAGTTCAGAAAATGATGTAAATAAATTTCAAGACAATGAATATGTTTCTGAAAATAATAAAGAATTACAAATTTCTGATAAAAATAGTATTAAAAATAATCAATTATTATCAGGAAAAATGGAAAATCAAAAATCTGAAAACGTAATATTAGAAAAAGAAAATCAATTAATAGAAAATACGAATGAAACGAAAAGAAAAAAACAAGAACAAGTTGTTTTATCTGAGTCGAGTGAAGACAGAGATACACCAAAGGGTGTATCAGAAATTGATATGGATTCTCCTCGAGATCTTAATGATTCAAGATTGGATATCGATGTTTTAAATGATGATTTATTAAGTAATCCAAACATAGAAAATCAAAATATAGATTCGAAGAATACATTTCATGCTACACCCATTGTTGCAACGTCTGAAAAGGATATAGAGGTCATGATAGATAAGTTAAAAGGTATGATTTTCATTAATCTAAAATTTCATTTATTATATTATTATATTATATTATATTATATTATATTATGTAGTTTTAATATTATTATAAAATTAAAGCTATATAATTTGAATTTTATTAGAATCACATTTTTAAATGTATATTTATATAATTGAATGGTATATTTATATAATAAATTTATATAATTATATTTTTTTCATATTTTGTAAATATTTTTTAATTATTTTAATTCCTTTTATTAATATGTATATAAATTTAAAAACATTAAATCATTTTAAATTATATTATTGTTAAATAAATATATGAATGGATAAATATTTTATATTTTATATTTTATATGTAAATCATATATTAGTCATAATTTATAAAAATTTGAATTTTTACATTATTTATATATATTAATTTTTATGTTGGCTATATAGAAATATTTATTTCTGTGCAAAGCATTGCCTCGTATAGCCATGTATTATTTATTTTCAGAGTAACAAAGTCGAGATAATAAATACTTAAGGTAATACAACACGAAACTTTGAATGAAATAAACATTGACTTGTTTTTTTTATACAAATCAGTGTTGCATGAGTGCTTGATATTTACTTATTAAATTTTACATTGCACAAAGAAAGCCTGTAAATATTGTGCAATACAATATAAAATATAAAACATTATATTTCCTGTCTTCCTTTCAAATATTTAAAAAAAAAAATTATTACATACATATATGATCTTGGAATGTATGATTTTATCACAGCTTTATACCATTTTATTAATGCATCAGAATATTTTTTCAATCCATACTTTGATATCTATCTTTTTTATTCTTTTTCTTTTTTAAATCATCAAAGCACTTAATTGAAATAAAATGTGAACTGTAATATAATATAAAGATTCGTGTTGCTTTTCCTAGATAATTAATTTATAAAACTTTTCATAATATTATATAAACTTTTCATTGTATCATATTTCAAATTTTTGCATAGCTTCATTGGAACAACCTGGCATGGAAGTTGCAGATTGGGAAGCGAAATTACTTCGTATTGAACAACTTCAGATTGAATTAGAGGTAATTTATTTCTATCATTCAATTATATTTTGTAAAATTCAGTCTTTTTTATATTCATCTTATTGTAGATTAAAAAATTAGAAGCAGAAGAAGAATCCTATTATGTTCGAAAAATACCGAATAAACCACCACCTCCCTACACTCCACCTACTGGAAGTGCAAGAATTTCAACTTCGCTTGGGTCACCTTCTCCTCCTCCAGCTGTGATTCCTTCAAACATAGAGGAATTAACAGCATTTACAGAAAAAGCCACAGCAATAATATTTAAAGCTAAGGAAGCTGGAGAAGATATTATGAGTTTAGAAGCTCCTTCTGAGATCTGTGAATTAACCAAAGAAAATGACGAGACTATGAAAAAAGATAGAAGAATTTACAATACATTCCTTTTCGATTTGTGTAAAGAAACAATCGCAGAAGTTTATCAAGCTGAATACGAAAAACCAGGTCCAAGTTGGACAAAACCAAACGTAAAAACAAAACCTATCGTGAAGATTCCTAAGACTATACAAGAACTTAATGCTTATGTGAATAAAGAGGTGGCTACTTTATTCGGTTTCAAAACAAAACTGCAACGAGAAAATATGGTAATGCGTTGGAGTAGAAAACGAAGAGATCGAGTTGATGAATTATTGGCTAGAGAAGCTCAAGCTGAGGAAGATGAATGGACGAAATTTCATCATGATGAACTCGCGGTAAAAAATGGTCTTACTGTAACTATATTAGATACTCTGTTAATGGAGACTGTGAATGTAGTTAAAGTTGCATATGCAAAGAAAAGAAAAGTAATGATTTAGTTTTTTTATTATTTTTCTTTCTTTTTTCTTTTTTTTTTATTTGCAAAGTTAAGATTTATGACTGAAGTACTGATATATATGAGTTATAATATAATCGTTAATTATAAAAGACAGTATATATTATTTTGAAATTAATTAGCTTAAACTGCTAAATTTAATGAATTTTGTTAATTAATTATTATTTGTATTTTATAATTTGTAAGGCTGGTTCCTATTTATTTCATTGATGTTCGTAAATAAGAAGACAAAAGGTGTGACAAATTTTATGAATTTTAGAAGTAATATGTAATTAGCAATTGTCGACCTATAGAACTCAATAATCAAACTATAAGTTCGTTTTGTTAAAATAGAATTATTATTAGAGTATATAAATTTATATAGAATAGTATATAAGTTTATCACAATTTATATTCATATATATTGAGATATAACATATTTAACATAGGAATCCCATTAATTTTGAGAACATATAATTATTAATTTAATAATTTTGAGCGTTTTGTTCGAGTAAATTTATATTATGTAATATATTTTTTATATATTTGTTTTAAATTTTACAAATTTATAAACATTAAATTTATTTTCAACGAAATAAATTTATAATAAAAACTTATAACAATTTATAAATAACATTTTAATTACAATGTTACTTGGACAAAATTTAACAAATACTCGAACAAAATGTTTTTTTGATTATATGTACCTATAACTGTGTTATAGAAATTATCAACTATGGAACATACATAATATGTTCTTATTAAATCATATTGGATTTCATAGAATTATGCTCAACTATGTATAATAAAACTAACAAAATTTAAACCAAAAGACTGATATTTTGGGGCCATTTTGATCTAAATTGAAAATATCTTAAACAGATACATAATAGTTAATAATTAAATGTTTATAAATTGGCGCTGAAAAAACTTTCCAAGTTAACTATCTGTAACAAAGAGATAGTTTTGATTTCCTATTGTAGCCCCTTTAATATGTAAGAATTAATATACAATTGTAAAAAAAAAAAAAAAACTACTTTTTATATTATGAATTGCATCGTGTTTATCAACTGATGAATCAGTTATATTTTAATATAATTTTGATTGGTAATATGTTGACTTTATTCTATTATACTTAAGTTTACATTTATGGTTGTGATGTCAATTTAATATTCACAAAATAAAAAATAAAAGTAACGTGTTAATTATATAAAAATACAGCAGTGATGAAGAATGGAACATTAGCTTTAATTAGTATGAATTGTGAATTATCAATTTGATATGTTTTAAAAATTTTTTTTCTGATGTAAGTCTTTTAACATGATTTTGAAAAATTTTATGTTTTAGAAATGTACATATGATAATAAGATTTAAATATTAGAATACTAGACTTTCTTTTTTAGAAAGTTTTACCAATCAATTACCAAGAATTATGAAAATTTCTCAAGTTTTGCCTGTTATGTAACTTTTGTGTTTATTTTTTTTTTCTTCTTTTTTTATTTACAATCAATTTAATACTAATTGCATATATAACTGTTATGTATAGATATTGTTCACGTATGTAGTGTTAAATATGTACTTAATTAAGCTATAATATATTTTATAATAAATTTTTTGAAAAATTTCTGATGTTTCTGTTAATATTTGCATGAAATAAAATATAATATTCCAATGATATCTTATATATCTCTGTATATAAAGAAATAAGTAATATAAAGATAATTTATTTTATAGAAAACAATTTTTTGTATTTATGATATTCATGATAATAGTTTCAATAAATTTTTGATAATAGTTTCAATAAATAAAATAAAAATTTTATAGATTGCTTAAATAAAATATTTTTAAATTTATCAAACTTTAACATACATCTATAATGGAGCAAAACTTACATCATTTTCCTCATTTGGTTTATATTATAATATTAAAATTATAAATTTAATATTAAAAATTAATATTAAAATTTTATATAAAAATTTTTTTAATAATTTGTTTATAATTGTTTCAATATAATTTTTAATAAGATAATTCAATTTGCAAAAATTTTAATTAATAATAGTAACACCATAGAATTATAATTATAATTGCATCATATAATTGAAAACTAACTAAATAAAAAAAAAGTATATAAAGTTTTGAAAGAGCTTTTCCGATTCGCTAATGCGAAATTTAAAGAAAATAATAGAGAAAGAAAAATGGACCTCAAATATAAAATAAAAAATTAAAAAATTATTTTAATTTTGGATATTTATTAGTTTCCGAGATGTTAATTTAAAAGCTTTCAATAATATACATTGAATTTTATAATGTGAATAATACAATTTTACTATAGTAGTAAAGTATTAACTTTAATATTCATATAATGCCTAAGTAATTTTTAATTATGTAAACGTTATAATATATTTAATAATATTAATAAAACAATTTCTTGTGAATCCTAAATGTACATTAATGATAGTAGATAACTATAATATAAATTTAGTATTTGATATTCGATATGGCTTTAAGACACTATTAATTTTAACAGTTATTAAATTAGAAGATATGAATAAGTCGAAACAGTTATGTACTTATGTAAAGAAAAAAATAAATTTATACTTGATTATTATATTGAATCATTTGGTGATCTTTTATCTTATTTAAAAAAATTAAAGAAAACAATATATATATATATATGTATGTATATATTTATATGTACACACAGAATTATTTTCTTATTTATTTTTATTTATTTTTATCAAAATTTCGATATTTATATAAATTTTACTATATTGTAATCATTGTACTATATTGTATTTCATTGTAATAGATTATAAAAAAAAGAGAAAATAGATTATTAGTTTATCAAAATTTACAATAAATTTAATTTTTTTTCTCTTATTGAGAATTATCATGTAAAAATGTATTTTAATATGTTTCAGTAAATAATAACAATCGTATATTATTTATTCTTTAATTAGCTTTTCTTCTTTTTACTACTCTCAAATCAAAGTATGACGTCAAAATCTAAAATCTCATCTGACAATTGTGATTTGATTCACAATGTGAATAAATAGAGATAGAAAATTACATCATTTAATGCAACATGATACATAATATAAGAATACAATAAGAATATGACGTCATTTTCACACGAAAATTTTTGCAACAATCCTGATTATAATTAAAATATGATATGAAATAATTATTGAATTTATTAAAAATATATATTAATTTGCTAATAAAAATTATTTATATCAATATTATATATATTAATATATGATTTTTTTTCAAAAATATGGAAATATGATTTTTTAAATGATATGATTATATTCTATCAAATTTTATTTAAAATAATCATGCAATCTATATCATTTTCTTTATATATAAAGCATATTTCGAAAATATTTAATAATTAAAATTGAATAATATTACATATATTAAAATAAAATAAAGTCATAATCATCAGTATATTCATGTATATTGTATATTGATAGTTATGAATGAAAGGAACGATTTATATCTCTATGTTATGTAACAAATGCTGAAGGTCATGATGTCAATGCGTGATTGTCAGTGATAGACATACTTTGTTTAAAATTATCTCTGTAGTTATTATAGCGGTTAATTGATAAAGGGTATATTTTATGTGGATACTAGAAGACAGTTTCATTTCAGTTTGAATACTTGTACCTGTAGGTTATAATAAAATGAGAACGAAAAATATATTATCATTATCAAATATAGAATTTAAAAATTTGATGGATTCTATTGATGTAGTTTTATCAGACTGTGATGGTGAGTGATTATTTAATATAAAATAATTTTTCTTAATGATATTTTAAAATATTTTAAAATAGAAGTAATTTAATATTCATTTCTACATTGTAATATTAATATTGAAGTATTTAATAATTAATAATAAATAAATAATTCAACGTGCAATATTATAAATAATGTTAATTATTAAATCTCAGTAAATCTTAGGTGTGTTATGGAGAGAAACAGAGGTAATAAAGAATTCGCCTGAAACAGTAAAAAAATTAAAAGAATTAGATAAAAAATTCTTTTATATAACAAATAACAATACTAAAACTAGAGCTGAATTTTTAAAAAAATGTAATGATTTGAACTATGATGCAACAATAGTAAGTAAAATAGATATATATTCCAGTATTTATAATTGAATAGAATATTTATTATATAAAATATTATTTTAAATTTTTATCTAGGATGAGATAGTATGCACTTCATTTTTGGCTGCTATATATCTTAAAGAAAAAAAATTTGATAAAAAAGTATATGTAGTTGGAAGTGTTGGCATTGGTAAGGAACTTGAAGCTGTAGGTATTCAACATTGTGGTATTGGAGTGAGTACTTAAAAAAAAAATATAATTAGTTAATATATTTAAATATGGCAATAAACATTTATATTTTATTATTGCAGCCAGATATAATAGAAGGTGATGAAGTAGAATTGGTAAAAAACTTTAAGCCAGATCCAGAAGTTGGAGCAGTTGTTATAGGCTTTGATAAAGATTTCAGTTTTCCTAAGATTGTAAAAGCTGTTACTTATTTAAATGATCCAAATGTTCATTTTATAGGAACAAACAATGATATTGAAAGGCCTTCACCAAGTACTAACAAATTTCCAGGTTGAAATTTATGTTTATTTATATTATTATATATTATATTATAATTTAATTCTTTTATGTTTTATATTTATTTTAAATATTTTTTTAAAAAATTTGACTATAAGATTTAATTATATAGGAACTGGTTGCTTCATCAAAAATATAGAATCAGCTTGTAATAGATCAGCAATAATACTTGGGAAACCAGAATCTTTTGTCAGTGAATATATTACAAAGAAGTATGGTTTAAATCCTGAAAGAACACTTATGATTGGTGATAAGTAAGTATAATTCATAATAATAATTTACAATTTAAATATTTAAGCAATTTTTATGTCATATTTAATACATAACTGTTTTATTTCAGTTGTAATACTGATATTCTTTTGGGAAAACGTTGTGGTTTTAAAACTTTAGTTGTATTAACTGGTATTACAACACAAAATGATATAGAGAATATGAATGCTTCTGATACAAATTCTAAAAATTTGACAATACCAGACTATTATGCAAATGAATTAGGTGATATATTAGAAATGATTAAAATATCTTGATGATTTCGTTAAAAAATTTAATTTCACAAATATTTAATATCATTTAAAAATATTTAAAAATATAACATACAATTGTTTTATTTTCTTTTGTTCTATTTATTTTTTGTTTTTGTTATATTTTTTGCCCTTGTATTTAATATAATAATATATATAATATCTAAATAT